TACATTCTGAGAAATGAATGATTAGGTGATTTCTTTCTTGTGTGAACATCATAGAGTGTACTTATAAATGCCTAGGTGGTATAACCTATTACATATTTAGACTATATGGCACAGTCTATTGTTCTTAAGCTATATACTGTACAGCATATTACTGTACTGAATATTGTAGGCAGTTTTAACACAGTGGAAAGTATTTGTGTATCTAAACATACCTAAACCTGGAAGAGGTAAGAGTGAAAATAGGGGGTGGTGCCTGTGGCTCAAAGGAGTAGGGCGCTGGCCCCATATGCCAGAGGAGGTGGGTTCAAACCCAGCCCTGGCCAAAAAAGAAAAAAAAGAGTGAAAATAGGGTATAAAAGATAAAGATGGGATACCTATATAAAGCACTTACCATAAATGGAGTTTGCAGAACTGGAAATTGCTCTGGGGGCATCTGTGAGTTAATGGGAAGGCCCAGCACATTACTGTACACTGCCATAGACCTTATAAACTCTGTGTACTTAGGCTATCCTAAGTTTATTAAGATTGTTTTCTACCTTAGCTTACTGTAACTTTTTTACTTCATAAACTTATAAATTTTTAAAAATCTTTTGATTTTTTTTGTAATAACAGCATAAAACAAACACATTGTACAGTTGTACAAAAATATTTTTCTTTGTATCTTTATTCTATAAATTATTTATTTATGTTTTATTCTTTAAAATTTTTGTTAAAAACTAAGATACAGACACACACTTTAGCCTACACAGGGTCAGCATTATCAATATCACTTCTTCCACCTCCACATCTTGTCCCACTTGAAGGTCTTCAGGGGCAGTAACACGCATAGAGCTGTCATCTCATTGATAACAATGCCTTCTTTTAGAATACCTCCTGAAGGACCTATCTGAGGCTGTTTTACAATTGACTTATTTTTTAATAAGCAGGAGTAAACTCTCAAATAACTATTGAAAGTATAGTATAGTAAATACATAAAACAGTACCAGACATTTATTGTCATTTTCAAATATTATGTGCTGTATAATTGTATGTGCTATACTTTTCTGTGACTGGCAGTACAGTGGGTTTATTTATACCAGCATACCATAAACATGTGAGGAATGTGTTGCACTATGATGGCTGCGATGTCACTAGGTGGGAGGAATTTTTCAACTCCGTTGTAATCTCATTGCTCAATCACTGACCAGAATGTATATGTATTTAATGCTGTAAATGCTGTAAACTTTTCTCTCAGCATTGCTTTTGCTACACCCACCAATTTTCATAAGCTATCTTTTCATTTTCATTTAGTGAGAAGTAATGTTTTAAATTTCTATTGAGACTTCTTTAATCCATGTGTATTTTAGAGTGTTTTGTTTAATTTGTGTTCACTGCTATCTTTTGTCAGTGATTTCTAGTTTTAATGACATTATGGTCTGAGAGCAGACATTGTATAATTTTGATTCTTTTCAATTTCTTAACTTGTGTTTTGTGGTCAAGAATGTAGTCTGTCTTGGCAAATGTTCTGTGTGAGCTTGAGGAGAATGTATTTTTCTGTTGTGTGCAGCAGTATATACATGGCAGTTAGATCCAATGGACTGAACGTGTGGTTCAGTTCTGTTCTGGCCCTTACTGATAGGGGGTCTTGAAATTGTGTTTGTCTTTTTCTCCTTATAGTTCTATTTTTGCTTCACACATTTTGGTGCATTGTTGTTAGGTAGATATACATAAAGCATTGTTATGTCTCTTGGAAGTTCACCCTTGTATCACTATATAATGCTCCTTTCTATTCCTGATGATTTTTCCTGATGAGGTTAGCTTTGTCAGAAATTAATATAGTGGTTCTTGCTTTCTTTTTTTAAAACAACTTTATTAGGATATAATTTGGATACTAGAAATTCACCCTTTTGAAAAAAATTTGAATTATGGTAAAATACACTGAACACAATTTACCATCTTAACCATTTTTAAGTGTACAGTGTAGTAGTGTTATGTATGTTTGCACTGTTGGGTGACTAATCTTTAGAACTGTTTTCATCTTGCAAAACTCTGAAGCAGGTTCACTGTATGCTAGTTAACCAACCTTTGAGCCCTGTGAAACAGAACACACTCATATGCAGCAAGTTACGGGAAGGAGATTTATTTTATTACTTACAGATGTGCAGCAAGGGATGACAGATGACTGTGGGTCATTGTGAGCCAGTCCCTAAAAGTTCAGCAAGCTGTCAGGTGGATGGAGTCTCATCAACACATACCCCAGTTGTACCACAGATGAGAGACCATGAAAGACAGCTGCACTGGATTATACTGTGTATACCTTGGGGTCACTGGACTCACTGGCCTAATATGTCGAGGGACATCCTGTTCTGGGCAGGGCACTGGAACAAGCCCTGGCTCTTTCGTCCAGGTTTTCCCTTATCTCAGGATGTTGCATTCCCAGCACATTCCACAGCTATTCTGTGGAACTGCAAGCAAGAAAGGGGAGAGAAATGCCTCAATCCAAGGCCACCTGGAGAACAGTCCTGCAAAATGGATACTCTACACCCATTAAACACCAACTCTCTCCTCCCCCAAATCTCTGACTACCTCTATGAGTATGATTATTCTAGGTGCCTCATATAAATGGAAGCATACAGCATTTGTCTTGTGGCTAGTGTTTTGTATTTCACCTAATGTCCCCAAGGCTCATCTTTCTTGTAGCATGTATCAGAATTTCTTTTTTTTTTTAAAAGTTGAGTAATTTTCCCTTGTATATGTACCGTATTTTGTTTATTCATTCATCCACTGGTAGACTCTTGGGTTGCTTCTGTAGAAGTTAATAATGCTCCTGTGAACATGGTTGTACAAATAGCACTTTAAGATCTTGCTGTCAGTCTTTTTGAGTATATACCCAGAAGTGGAATTGCTGGACCATATGGTATTCTATTTTAAATTTTCTGGTGAACTTCTATACTGTTCTCTTTAGCAGCTGCACCACTTTACATTCCCACCGACAGTGTGTAACAGTTCCAGTTTCTCCACATTCTTGCCAACCCTTGTTATTTTCTGTTCTTTGAGCAATGGTTATCCTAATGGGTGTGTGATGGTATCTCATTGTGGTTTTGATGTACATTTCCCTGATGATTAGAGCATCTTTTCTGTGCTCATTGTCCATTTGTATATTGTCTTTAGATAAAGTTTTATTCAACTCCCTTGCACCTTTTTTCAATCGGATTGTTTGCTTTTTTCTTGTTGAGTTGTAAGAATCCTTTTTATATTCTGGATGTTGGTCCCTTATCAGATATGTGATTTGAAAACATTTTCTTTCATTTTGTGGGGAGCCTCTTCATTGTGCTGATAATGTCTTGATACACAGAAGTTTTTAGTGTTTTGTTTGCTGATTTTTTTTCCTAGACGTCCTAGAGATGGACAAAAGCTTTTTGTTTTACCGAAGTCTAAGTTATCTATTTTTCTCAGGATTTTTGATCATTACTATTCTGAGAAGGCTGTAAGAAATGGAGTCAGATCTCATTTAAATGTCCATCTATGTTACTTGATTAAATAGTGTATCACTAAGAAATACAGAGAACTGGCTGAGTAAAGTGGCTCATACCTGTAATCCTAGCCCGATGGGAGGTGGAGACAGGTGGATTGCTTGAGCTCAGGAGTTCAAGACCAGCCCGTGCAAGAGTGAGACCTTGTTCCTAAAAGAGACAGTCACAAAGCTGGTGCATAGTCCACCTGGAAGCTGGCTTTCGATATCAAGGGCTGATTTTCTCTCCCAAAGTAACAATGTTTCTCAAACTTTAATGTTAAAGAATTACCTGGAGACATCCCTGGGCACTCATCCTCCATGTAGCTTCATTGTGTCCTATTTCTCATTCCCTGCTTTGGGGACCTCTGGATAGTATTTGTGAATTTAAGGGGAAAGAAACATTCTGGGTTTTTCTCCTGCAGTTGAGTCCTTGTAGATATCCCCGAGAGCTGCTTTTACATGTTTCCTTCATTTTGCTGCACTGCAGGTATCTAGGATGTGAGCTGTTTGCTGGAGGAAGTGCTCCCTCCTTTTCCAAATAGAGCGCTTTGATGGAGCTGAGGAGTTGAGGTGTTCCTTATGACATATGGCTGCTCCCTCCCTAGTAAATAGCACAGCCTCCGTTGTGTGTGGTCAGCCTTTCTATTACTATCATGTAAAGCTGGAAAAAAAGAGGATACGATCTGAGTTTTTGTTGGATTTTCATGCATTTCATATCTTATTCTACTTCTTATTGATTGGTTTGGGAATTGGTATATGCATGACTATATAATATTCTCAATAGTTAAGGAAGTATTCACTTGGATACTCTATTTTCTTTTTCTTGATTTATTACACATTAATTAATTAATTTATTTATTTTTGAGACAGAGTCTCACTGTGTCACCCTGGGTAGAATGCCAGGGTGTCATAGCTCACAGCAACCTCAAACTCTTGGGCTCAAGAGATCCTCCTGCCTCAGCCTCCCAAGTAGCTGGGACTATAGGTGCCTACCACAATGCCCAGCTATTTTTAGTAGAGATGGAGTCTTGCTCTTGCTCAGCTGGTCTTGAATTCCTGAGCTCAAACAGTCCACCTGCCTCAGCCTTCCAGAGTGCTAGGATTACAAGTGTGAGTGAGTCATTGCACCTGGCCTTTATTATACTTTTAAACAGTAAATTTCAAGTGACAGAATATAAACCAATTAGATATTATTTTGGCTTAAAAATTCATATGCTGAAGTAGTAACTTTAAAAAGTATGCCAGATTCCTGTGTTGTTTTTCAGAGTCATTTAGCACTGGCTTGTTTGGAACAGGTATCACTGACAACCTTAGCTTCTGGAGGCATGGGGTTTTGGACAGTCAACCTCCTCAGGTTTCTAAGTAAAATTTTAAAATTATCCTTTTGAGTCACCTAATTATAATAATAATGCAGCATTCTTGAATGAATGCACTGGAAATGATTTAAATGTGTGGGAAATAGTTTTAAAATTGAATCTTCATTTAACGTTCAGACTTCTTTCCACAGGCCATTTTGCAACCTGTGTTGGCAGCAGAAGATTTTACTATCTTTAAAGCAATGATGGTCCAGAAAAACATTGAAATGCAGCTGCAAGCCATTCGAATAATTCAAGAGAGAAATGGTAAATTGTTGAATTTAGAAATCTAAGTGCTAAATGCCTTTTTTTTTTTTTTTACAGTTTTGACTATTCTGATTCTAATGTAGTCTTAAATGTAGCTGCCTTGTGTAGGTTTATTTCAAGCTAAAACATCTTTGGCTGATTTAAGAGATTTAAGAGTGTAAAGCTTCTGATCTATATATATTTGACATCTCAAACAAAGCAGACCAGAATTGGATTTAATGATGGTTTTGATTTCAGAGAGCTTGAGTTTGTGCTCAGCCATTGTGTTTATAAATTCAATATTTCTTTCTTTCTTTTTTTCTTATTGTTGGGGATTCATTGAGGGTATAAGAAACCAGATTACACTGATTGCATTTGTTAGGTAAAGTCCCTCTTACAATTATGTCTTGTCCCCAAAATTCAATATTTTTGAGTGGTCAGAGTTACAGTTACTGCTGAGAGATGGTGGTTACTCTTCTCCTGTTTATCATTGTTAGAACATTTGTAGGAGACAGTGGTTCTTAAGGCTTAGCAACACTGGAAGCAGTTGGAGTGTTTGTTGAAACACATATGGCTGCCTCCCAGTTTCTGATTTTGTAGGTGTGGAGTAGGACCTGATAATTTGCATTTTTAACAAGGTTCCAGGTGATGCTAAAGCTGCTGGTCCTGGACCACACTGAGACTCACTATTCTAAGGGAACAGGCAATGTGATTGCACCAGTGTTGGGTAGAAGAGGAAACAGAATTTAAAGCCCTAGAAACCCTCCTTCTCCTTGGCCTTATCTTTTCCTTGACTTTGTGCTCGAACTTAACTTTCTGCAGTTCTTCCTTCTTTTGTTCTCTCATGTGTAACTGAACTGCATTTGACATTCTAACTCGAAACAGCCAAGTTAACTGTACTTCTTGTTATTGTACCATCTCCTTTTCAACCCGGATTCCCATCTCTCTTTCTGGCTCTGGTAATCTCACCTTAATCTCTATGCATTCCTTTGCTCATGGATTGCCACTGATACCCTTTACCTGGTCTGTAACCTTTTTAATGGTCTGGCATCAGGACTTTTCCTTTGATTGTTTCTATAGTTCAGTTATATTGTTTGCTCTTAGGGTTTTGGATCATGCAACAATAGGGCTTCTGTTGTAGGGTGAACAAGAGAATGTTGCAGTGCTCGACTGGGGAGTTTGCTTGTCATTTGTCTGATATGAGTAGAAACTCTCTCTCTTAGAGCCAGCCACCATGATAACCATCCACTAAGATCCTAATATGCTTTCCCCAGCAAGTAATAGAACTATTGCCTTTGGGTAGGAGATAACACCATTCTAATCTTAAAGAATTCATGACAGTGTTGTTATATTGGTGTAAAAAAGTTTGGAAAATAGTTTATCTTTCTACCATGGCTTACTCTATAAAATTCTTTCCTATAAATTTTCCTGGAACTATGGTTTATTCTGACCTATGGGATAGAGGATTTTAATAATTATGCTAGTAAAATTTGTTTTGAGGGCATCAGTTTTGATAAAAAGAAATAGTGAAGTTGACATTGGTGTTCTAGTTTCCAATTTGGAATTTAAACTGGAAACTTACTGAGATTTTAATAAAAAGGGAATAAATGCATATGGTTCAGGCTGCCCGTAATGGAATACCCCATTGAAAATGGCCTAAGCAATTTGAAATTATCATGTCATAGAACGAGAAGTCTGGAGCCAGGGAGAGAAGGAAGATAGGACAGGGGGTGACTGAGTGGCTCAGTGATACTAACAAGGACCCTGACACTTTTTCTCTTTACACCTGCCGTCTTCAGATCTTCTCTCATGGTCCTGTTGATCAGGACTAGGGTCATTTGCCTTTTTAAACCATCTGGCAGGGAAAATGAGAAACGAGATCACTGTGATTGGATTAAGCCAACCCTGAGTCACTCTCTTGGGGTTGGGGAGCTGCCTGATTACTGCAGAAAACCTGGCTTATGTTAGCAAGGGAGAGGAGGGGGTGATGTGGAGCAGTGGCTGCTGTCACACAGTGTAGGATAGTTTGCTCACATTTAAACTTAGACTGATGCAGAAGAACCTCTGCAGCTGACCACCTCTCTGCATTGACCACTCCATGAATGACCTAATCTTCACAGACTGGACATGCACCATGTGTACACATCAGTACAGTAGACCTACTGCCTTATGTTGACCACCTCTGTATGTTGACCAGTTTATTACAGCCCTTGGGTGGTCAACTTACAGAGGTTCTAATGTATTTAATTTCTGCTATGGAATTTTTAATACATTATTTAAGAATATTGCTTAATTTAGATCTAAGGGTCAGTATCTTAGATCAATGGTGATTGTACTCAAAACTACAGACTGTGTGAAAATTGCCTTTGTATTGAGAAAAATTCAAAGGCTGTCTGGATTTTTGGTTGTATCTTATTGAAGAATTTTGGGAAAATGCAAATTAGATCATTATTTTGATGCTTTTGAAGTACTTCATATGACTATTAATTTTTCTATAGTACTTTTAATTTTCTGTAGAAAGAGTATTAGGAAAATAATAATTTTGTATCTTTTGACTGAGCCACAATGCACTTAAGATTGATGGGATGTACAGATGTCAGTTTTCTGGTTGTGATGTTATACTACTGTAATTTTGCAGGACGTTACACTGGAGGAGACTGGGTAAAAGTACATGGCATTTTCTGTATCATTTCTTTATAGCTGCATATGAATCTGTCGTTATCTCAAGTGTTTAATTTTCAAAAAATGCATTTAAACAGCAGGGGATTAGAATTATAAAGCTACTTTACTTTAGAGCATGTCCAAAAATCCTATAGTCACATATAGATACAGAAATGGAAGGTAAAAACTAAGAGATGTTCTGCTAATGTTATGGAATGTAGTAATTATAGATATGAACAGAACACTTACTGCCTGTCTCCTTGCTCCTCAGGAAGATATAAGTAATAATGTAAATTAAACTAACATTTTAAATCACTTGCCATGGATTTTTATTTTCTTGGGGCTGAAGTTGGTACCGCCCTGCTTTATATTTATTAGACCAATATCTGAACAGAAATTGCAGGGGAAAGATTGTTTTATTCATCCTTATATCCCCCGATGGTTGCTTAGCACCAGGCTTTTATTACATATAGTAAGTAGGTTCCCTTTCAGCAGCATTTGTTGTAGTAAGAATGAAAAGTAGGAAATGTTGTTTCAGTTAATAAAATTGTATTTTGTTTTGTAAACTTCCCATTTAAGGGACACCTTTGAGAGCATAGTTTTATTATTAACCTTAGCTTAATGATTTCAGTGGTATATCCTCAGACACTATATGATTATGGAAGATAGTAGCTTACATTAATTTTTGTTGCCACACATTGTTATTTTTAATAGCCAATGAAAATAATTATTAAGAGGTATTTCTAGGTAAACTTGTGGCATTATTGGTGGGGATTATTCCATAAAATGAGAAAAGTTTGAAAAGATGATAGTTGAAAAGATATAGCTTGGAATGTTTTTAAAAGTGATTTTAAACTAATTTGTACTTGACCTAGAATAGAGAGAAATAAAACTTTTTTGGTTGAGTTGATATTCTTTCATGTGGTTTTTGGTTTTGAACAGGTGTATTACCTGACTGCTTAACAGATGGTTCTGATGTGGTCAGTGACCTTGAACAGGAAGAGATGAAAATCCTGAGGGAAGTTCTTAGGTACCCTTCTTTACTTATTTTTTTACTGAATCATTTGTAAAATTTTAATATCTATACGTATGGTTTTTTACCCAGAAAATATTATGAACTAATAAAATAGCTAAATTCTCTACTGAAGACTATCAAAATGACTTATCATTTTATTTTTATTTTTAAAACTTTTATTTTTTTAAGGCCAGTAAGTGTTTTGTCATTTTATAAGTGTGTATATGGTGTATTTCTTAATGGATAGGAGAAATTATTTTCAGATAACTTATACCACATTATCTCAAATTAGAGGGTCTTTTCCCACCCCCATCAAAAGAATAGGAAAGTAGACAGAAATGGGAAAAAGTGAAACTGACCCAGTCTGATCCCTGGAAAACAATGTACTCCTTGGCTTCTGGATCCTAGTACTGAAGTGGCTCATTGTAGGTGTCTCCCAGTAGGAGGCTGACCACCCAGACCCCAGATGGAGGAGCTGACTGGGTGACAGTAACTGTAAGGGAGGGAGGACAGTGAGAGGCACCCACCCCAAATGAGCAGCTTGCTGGTGTCTTCCTCTTCTCACTTACATGATTCTCAGTCAGATGTCTGGCATGGAGTTTGCAGCCCACTAATAGTGCCCACGCAGGAACTAGGAAAGCTTAGTGGACAGTTATTTTTTCCTTGGGCTAGAAATGCCCTGACCTTTATGGGAATTTTGGAAGGGAATTGCAACTCCTAATTTTTCAATCTCCAGTGAGAGTGTACTAGGTTTAAAGCAAAAAAACACTTGCCAGCACTGAGTCACCTGCATAACTGGGCCTTGACCTGTGGGGATACTGCTTCAGCTGTACTGTGAGACATGACCATCTTCTAGCATCCTGTAGTCCCCTTACCTATCCATCTTGTCCCAACCCCAAAGCAGAAGAGAGGATAGGCAGAACAGTGGTTAAGAGGATGGGGCTGGGGGAAACTATGGCAGGAGCTCCAGGATTCAGTGGGTAATTTCAGGGGATTTGAGTGATTATGGGGAAGGAGGCAGATGTGTGGGTGAACTCAGCCCTTTACTGCCAGATCCTTCTCTCTGGGAGGATGAGAGGGGCAAATGAGAGCCCGAGACAGTACAGAACACTTTAAGTTTGTAGGTTGGAAGAGGTAAGGGTGTTTGGTTCAGAGGACTGGTAAAGTTTTGGCTTGGATTGGTTGATTGGTGGTCTGAAAACTGGCCAGCACTACATTTATAATTTATTTTCTAAGTGCTTTTGAGGGGGAGGATACTACTGTATAAGTAGTAGAATTTAGTTATGAATATGTACAACAGTTGACTTTGATTATTTTCCTAAATCAGATTGTGTGAGTACACTGTTCACAAAAGTTGATGGGGTTTGGCATGGTGGCACGATGGATGCTTTATGATAGCTCAGATGCCACTGGAAAGGAGTAGAATGAGAAGAGTAATGGCTGTTACCAGGAGGGAGATAAGTGATCTCTCTAAAGGTAGTCTTTATTCATAGGATTTGCCATTCCAGTTTGGGTTTAGGATTTCAAATCTGTTGATCTTTGATCAGCTGGGATTCATTCAAATTTCTGGAAGAAATGGATAGACTGGTATTTTCTGTTGCTAACTACGTTATGCTTGTGTGTGCCTACATACATGTTGATGGAGGTGATTGATTGTAAGTCACTTTAGAGTAAGGCCTGATTATTTTCCAACTTGTGTCCAAAATGCCTTATATGATAAGCTGAGGTTAGTATATTGCTTGTTCTTTGGCCAAAAAAGGAAAGTTTACTTTTATACCTTATTTTTGTATATTTCAGAAAATCGAAGGAGGAATATGACCAGGAAGAAGAAAGGAAGAGAAAAAAACAGGTGCTTGAAGAACATATAATAGAAATATTTCATTGCTGTTATCTCTTATTAAGTTTACACCTAATTTTTGCTGTTAAAGTTTAAGGTTATATGGAACCACACAGTTTCTCAGAGTATTCATATTTTCCCAGCAAGTTTAAGCATTTATATTTAAATTTTTATATATTTTTTAATATAGAAAGTATATACTTTCTTACAAGACTCTATACTTTGTTTCAAAGAAAATTACTTTTCTTATAACTTATTCATTTTATAACATCCAGCAACCTATGTTTTAAGTTTCATAATGGAGACCAAGATTATTAATGCCAAAAACTGTAATACTGTTCTGATTAGGGGAGGTTCCTTATAACAATTCTCATTAATTTTATGAATAAAGGAAGATTAAGAAATCCTTTTACTTTCCTATTCTACTTGACTTTTTTACTGTGTAGAAACAGCAAGTACAGCTACATCCAAAGGTACCCTGTAAGCTTTTATATTACTCCGTTGAAGCTGAGTAATTCAGTAACATGTTCCCTGGCATACCGTTCTTCCATTAAGAACCATTTTCATAAGTGCCTAATCTTGCCTCAGGATAAATTAAACTTGTATCTTGCTGTGGTGAGGGAAGTTAATATTTATTCCTTCCTCTCCCATTTTCTCACTGTCTCTCTTATGTTTTCCCAGTCTTCCTGAAGGGGAAGAGAAACCTAATATAAACTCTCTCTTAATAACCTGAGAGTCATTCCTTCCCCCTCTCCCCATCACTATTATACATGCTTGTACCATTTCATTGTCATTGAAAAACCTACTTTACCCCAAGGTACCCAGGAAGAGCAGAAGGAGGAAAGATGCTTTAAGGTTTAGAGGTGATTTAGTATCTTTGAGTAAATATTTTTTTGGTAAATGGAGGCAAAGTTCTTAGCTATTAATAAGGATTTTAAAATACAAGGATATAGAACAAAAACCAATTTCAAACTACTATAGAAGACGTTAGTATTAACTCTCTGAGAGATATATATGTATATATATATGCGAACTATATGAGGTTTCTTGAATAATACTATGTTTCAGATATACAGCTGGTTTTTTTCTTTTGAGACTTTTTGTTATGGAAATTTCCAAACATAACTAAAGTAGAAATGTTAATAATGAACCCTCAGGTATCCATCACCCAGCCTCTGAGGTTTATGATTTAAATAACAATGAATTGTCTAATAAGTGTATGTGATTGGATTTTCTTCTAAGGAAAAATGAATTAATATTGACTTACTTCTTTCCAAGATTTAAATGATTTCTTTCCTTTATATTGTTCCATTTTAATAATGGAAATAAGGCAGTTTGTTGCTACTCCACACATTTTGTAGTAGTGGTAGATGTATTATTTGAAGTGGAAAAATACTATAATTCAGTGGTTTTATTTCTTTTAGAGTATTTCTCAATGTCTTGCTCAAGGTCACATGAATAGTAAGGGTGGATCCTTGGTTTTAACCCAGTTCTTGCAAATCCCAAGTCCTAACCATGTTAGTTACCCTTCTTAGCACTGCATGATTTGATATGAAATGCTTACCTGCCTCACAAACGAGGAGATGTAAAATGTTAGTGATATATTAAGAACTTTGGAAGTAGAATGTCTTCCTTATCTAGTCATAAATAGTAATTTTAAAAAAATCTTTGGACCTTTTAATTAGTAGATTGCTCAATTAACTAAATTGTGTGCTTTTTAAACTGTGTTATGGATTCCTGAAGTTATCAGAGGCTAAAGCAGAAGAGCCAACAGTGCATAATAATGAAGCTGCAAAACTGAGTAATTCCCAAGGGGCTGGTGAACATTTTGCACACCCACCCTCAGGTAAGGTTGAGATGCACTGAACTTTCTCTAATATGAATTGTAAACCTTGTGCAGAGTGTGTTACTGTCTCACACACATTTAACCTTCAAAAACCCAGGGAGTGTTGAATGGCTTTGGTATTTAAAGTTCTTTGTAAATTTAGTTGAAGAGGTTGCACATAAGAGATCCTTAGCTGAAGGACAGGGTGTAGTCTCCAATTTCTAAGTAAGGCCTTGAACCTAGAGCAGTGAGCAGAACTCCTTGACGGAGCCACCAGCCTTTGTGCCATGGCTACAGCATATACTCAGTAAGTTCATGTAACATTTGATATTCTCTTCCTTGGTCATAGTTACATGGTGTATGAGAGTGAGAAGCTAAAGTGGGAAAGATAATATTAAATTTCTTTCTTAATGAATTAAAGTAAAACTAGAAAATAAGATGTACCCAGTTTGTCTAAATGTTTAGTCAGAAATTGTCTTTGAAACCAGAATTGATGAGAATTCTTGTGGGAAATATCAGTCCATGAATTTGTTCAATATGTGCCGAATCCACTTTCCATATGCTCTGATTTCCTATATAAGAAAACAAGTATTCCTGAAACAGAAATTGAATTGTGGTCATGATTTCAGTTCATTTTATCATGGATTCCTATTGTTTTAAACAAATGTCCTTTTCTTAGTTAAGAAAAAAAACATTGCGAGGTAAATATTATAATCTTTCTTTTTAAAAAAAGAAATCAAGAAAACCAAGTGACTTGTCCAAGATCACTGAGCTCTTAAATGGTAAAAGTGTGATTTATCCTGGTCTTCTGACTTAACTGTTGTGTTCTTATACACCTTAGAAGAACTGCTGTAATCGAGATAAGTTTGATGTTTACTCATTAATTTTTTATGTAAGATGGAGAGCAACTTTATTTTTTAAATATTTAATTTTTTTAAGAGCTATTTTAGATACACTATAAATAGAACAGAAGATACAGAGATTTCTCACATAATTTCAGCCACCACACATGCATTGCCTCTCCCATTATCATTCCTCACAGAAGTGGTGCATTTGTTATATTGGTGAACCTATGGTGAGACAACATTCCCACCCTAAGATCACATTAGGACTCACTCTTGGTATTGTACATTCTAGGGATTTGGAAAATGCATAATGACATGTCTCTATGGTTATAGTGTCAGACAGGGTAGTTTTGTTGTCCTAAAAATCCTCTGTACTCTGCCTCTTGGTTCATCCTTCCCTCCTAATCCCTGGTAACCACTGACCTTTTTACTGTACCATAGCCCGAATGTCATATAGTTGGGAGCATATTATATGTAGCCTTTTCAGGCCGGCTCCTTTCTCTTAGTATTATCCATGGAAGATTTCTTCAAGTCTTGTTTGGACTTGGTAGCTCACTTCTTTTTAGCACTGAATGATACTTCATTGTCTAGATATGCCATAATTTGTTTATTCATTCATTTGCTGAAGAACATTTTGGTTGCTTCCAAGTTTTGTCAGTAATGTACGGCTTTTGTGTAGATGTAAGTTTTCAACTCTTTTGGGTTGACCACGGTATTGTATGGGAAGAGAATGTCTGGTTTTATAAGAAACTGCCAAACAGTCTTCAAAGTGGCTGAACTATTTTGCATTCTCATCAGCCATGAATGAGAATTACTGTTACTCCACATCCTTGCCAGCATTTGGTTTTATCATTGTCGCAGATTTTGTCCCTTCTAATTAATAGGTGTTTAGTGGTTTTATTTGCATTTCCTTGATGACATGTGATGTAGAATATCTTTTCATATGTTTATTTGTCATCTATATATCTTCTTTGGTGCTATGTCTGTGATGGCCTTCGACCCATTATTTTAATTGAGTTATTTCTTTTCTTATTGTTGAATATTTTTTTAAGCCTTTATTTTTTATTTTTTATTTTTTAGACAGAGTCTCACTCAGTCACCCTGGGTAGAGTGCCATGGTGTCATAGCTTATAACAACCTCAAACTCCTGGGCTCAGGGGATCCTCTTGTCTCTCAGCCTCTGGAGTAGCTGAGACTATAGGCACCTGTCACAACACCCAGCTAGTTTTTCTATTTTTAGTAGAGACGGGGTTTCACTTTTGCTCACGATGGTCTGGAACTCCTGAGCTCAAACAATTCACCCACCTCGGCCTCCCAAGAGTGCTGGGATTACAGGCCTGAACCACCAAGTCCGGCCTTTATTGTTGAGTTTTAGAGAGTTCTTTGTGTATTTTAGATAACAGTTTTTTATGATAAAGGATATGTCTTCTGAAAATATTTTCTTCTAGTCTGTGGCTTGTCTTTTCATTCTCTTGATAGTGTCTTATCTCTTTAAGGTATTGCTCTGTAAGAGCAGGTGTTTTAAATTTAGTGAAGCCAGTTTATTATTTCTTTCATAGGTTGTGCCTTTGGTGTTGTATCTGATAAGTCATCACCAAACCTAAGGTCATCTAGGTTTTCTCCCATTTTATCTTCTAGGATTTTTTGCTTTATATTTTATATTTAAGTCTGTGATCTATTATTATTATTATTATTATTTTTGTTTGAGACAGAGTCTCACTTTGTTGCCCTGGTAGAGTGCTGTGGTGTAGCTCACAGCAACCTCAGACTCTTGGGCTCAAGCGATTCTCTTGCCTCAGCTTCCCAAGTAACTGGGACTATAGGTGCCTGCCACAAGACCCAGCTATTTTTTTTTGTTGTTGCCCACCACAGCACCTGGCTATTTTTAGAGACAGGGTCTCACTCTAGCTCAGGCTGGTCTTGAACATGTGAGCTCAGGTGATCTTCCTGTCTTGGCCTCCCCGAGTACTGTGATTACAGGTGTGAGCCACTGAGTGATCTAATTTGAGTTAATTTTTGTGAAGGCTGTAAATTCTGTGTCACGATTCATTTTTTTTCTTTTTTTTGCACATGGATGTTTAGTTGTTCCAACACCATTTGCTGAATAAATTATCTTTTACTCATTGTATTATCTTTACTCATTTATCAAAGATCAATTGACTATTTTATGTGGGTTTATTTCTGGGCTCTCTGTTCTCTTCCATTGATCTATTTGTCCATCCTTTTGCCAATACTACGTTATCTTGATTACTGTATCTTTTTGTTTCACAGTTACACTCTTTTCTTCTAGTTTTGAAATGTACCATTGCAACATGCACATTAGGTGAGGTCCTCCAAATAGCATTACTCCTCCCTCCTCTTCCCTCCCCTCCCCTCTTGCTCCTCTTCCTTTCTACTTTCTGGACTATAGTTATGTTTTACCATTCATATGAATGTGTAGGTGATTATAGTAGTATTGAGTACATTGGATACTTTCCCCCCCAATTCTTGAGGTACTATACTAAGAAGAATATGTTCCAGTTCCATCCATAAAAGATGTAAAGTCTCCATCTTTTTTATGGCTGCATAGCATTCCATGGTGAACATATACCACGATTTGTTAATCCATTCATGGGTCAGTGGGCACTTGGGTTGTTGTTTCTATGTCTTGGCAATTATGAAATGGGCTGCAATAAACATTCTGGTGCAAATGTCTTTGTTATAAAATGATTTCGATCATCTGGGTATATACCTAGAAGAGGAATTGCAGGATTGAACAGTAGATCTACTTTTAGTTACTTGACTGTTCTCCAAACTTCTTTCCAGAAAGGTCATATAGCTTCCATTCCCACCAGCAGTGTACAAGTGTTCCATTCTCTCCTCATCCACACCAGCATCCATAGTTTTGGAATTTTGTGATGTGGGCTAATCTTACTAGAGTTAGATGATATCTCAAAGTGGTTTTGATTTGCATTTCTCTAATGATTAAGGATGATGAGCATTTTATTATGTGTTTGTAGGCTATTTGCCTGTCTTTATCAGGGAAGTTTCTGTTCAAGTCTCTTGCCCACACAGAAATGGGGTTATTTGTTCTTTTATTATCAATTAGTTTGAGTTTTCTGTAGATTCTAGTTATTAGACCTTTGTCAGAAGCATAACCTGCAAAAATCTTCTCCCATTCTGAAGGTTGTCCGTTTACTTTACTTATTTTGGTCTTGGCTGTTCAAAAGCTTTTAAATTTGATCAGATCTCGGTAATTTATTTTTGGTGTTGCTTCAATTGCCTGGGGGTTCCTCCTCATAAAATATTCTCCCAGGCTGATTTTTTCAAGTGTTTTCCCTGCACTTTCTTCTAGCATTTTTATAGTTTCATGTCTTAAGTTTAAATCTTTTGTCCAGTGAGAATCAATTTTTGTTAATGGTGAAAGGTGAGGGTCCAGTTTCAGTCTTCTACAGGTCACCAGCCAGTTCACCTAGCACTGTTTGTTAAATAGGGAATCTTTCCCCACCGAATATTTTTGATAGGCTTATCGGCTTGTCAAAGATCAAATGATGATAAGTAGCTGGGTTCATCTCTTGGTTCTCTATTCTGTTCCATACATCTATCTCTCTGTTTTTGTGCCAGTACCATACTGTTTTGATCACTACAGATTTATAGTATAGCCTGAAGTCTGGTAACGTGATACCTCCTGATTTGCTTTTATTTCTGAGTAATGTATTTGCTATTCGAGGTTTTTTCTGATTCCATATGAAAGGAAACACTATTTTTTTTCAAGCTCTAAAGGATGACTTGATGCTTTCATAGGGATTGCATTAAATCTGTAGATTGCTTTGGGTAGTATGGACATTTTAACAGTGTTGATTCTTCCCAGCTGTGAGCATGGTATGTTTTTCCATTTGTTAACATCTTCAGCTATTTCTTTTCTCAGAGTTTCATAGTTCTCTTTGTAGAGATCTTTCATGTCCTTTGTTAGGTAGATTCCCAGATATTTCATCTTCTTTGACACTACTGTAAAAGGAATAGAGTCCTTTACTAAATTTCAGCTTGACTATTGTTGGCATATATAAAAGCTACTCATTTGTAGGTATTGATTTTGTATCCTGAGACGCTTCTGTATTCCTTGATCACTTCTCAGTGTTGTGGATGAGTCCCTGGGATTTTCCAGGTATAGGATCATATTATCAGTGAAGAGTGAGA